ACATTTACAGCAAAAGAATATTGATTTGTATCAAAATAATGTAGATGTAGAGGTAACTAGTACCGATGTAGAATTAAGGGAACTGAGTGATTTCACTCTTGCTACACATATAGATATTACTGCAAATAAGAAACAAACTTTGTACTATGTATTTATTAGGCAGTATTTTGTACACGTTAAAGAAAACGTCATGTTCAAACTGTTATAAACCGTTGATATATTCGTCCTTAGATGAAGCGGATAATGTTAAAAACGTCTCCCTTATAACTCTAAGTTGAAAAGCTTTAAGGAAAATGTACTTGTATTTCCTTCTATAGCTCTTATTGATTATATAAACACAGCCGAAATGTATTTTACAATTAACAAATCGCTTCTAATTAACAATACTCTGCATTATGACGATCTGCTGATTATATAGAAACAGTCGAAATGTATTTTAATAATACTCTGCATTATGAAGATCTCACAAAGAAGTTCCTAAATAACCATAAATTTTATTTAATATTACGTCACAATATCATTTTTTTATAGTTTAAACATTGGCTGGAATTGATTGGTCGGGAGGATCTTTTTCAAAAAGGGATTGATAAAGCCAGAAAAGCGCACCGAGTATGTACTTTTCATTTCAGTGGAGAAATGAAATTTCCAAATACATAATAACAATCGAACATGCCTTAAGTTTAATTGTTGTCTTGACTTAAATTTACCAAGTAAGTAAACAATGCACTTTTATTTCTCTGACACTTTGGTCTAATTTGTGCAAAATTGTAGCATATATATCCACTGCAACTTTGGAGCAACACCCAGTTGTACTTGAATGTTTGGACAGTCCTTCTCAACCTCAGATGCAATGTACACCACCAACAACTCCAAAACGACGCGTAGGAAGGTAATTTTAATTTATTATTATCATTATGTTACAGTTTTTTTATTTTTAGATATCAGAAAAAAAAGAGTTTACTAAAACAGGTGGCGGTTACCAGATCATCTGAATTAACACCAAAAGCATTGAAACTATATAAAGCAGCACGAGCAATAAGAAAATGTGCGAAACAATTAGATATGGATCTTAGAGAAAACAGAAAGAGATTAGAAGCAGTTATTGCAACTACCAAATCACCAACAATTAATTTATTACAGAAGTTAAATGCTGTTTCTGCCAAATTTTTTGCCAGCCAAATAAAAATGCAGTCCAAGAGTCGTGGCCGCCGTTATAGTCTGGATAATTAGATACTAGCACTGTCGCTGCTAAAGCCAAGTCCTCGTTGCTATGAGTTATTGGAAAAAATATTTGTCTAACCATCCAGGAAAACACTCACCACCTTATTAAATAAAACTCCATTTTATGGTGGTTTAAATGAGGCAATTATCAATAGTCTCAAAGAAAAAGTTCAAAAAATGAAGCCATTGGATTCGTACTGCTCTCTCATATTTGATGAGATGTTTTTAGATGCCTCTCTCACATATGACAAAAAAACAGACTCTTTTAGGGATTTTGTAGACTGGAGAGGAAAAGACAAATAATTTTGCAGACCATGCTATGGTGTTTATGGCAAGATGTTTGCACAAAAGTGGAAACAACCTATTGCCTATTTTTTCACTGAGGGTGGAATGAGTGCTGTTGACTTGGTTCGCAATTTGAAAGTGACTATCCGTACTTTAGTAGGACTGCATGTAGTTGCCACAGTTTGTGATCAGCATGGAACAAATGGAAAAGCCATTAAAATGTTGAGCGAGGAGACTGAACGAAAACATAAAGGGACTGAAAATCGTCTCTTTTGCTTCACAATCAATGGCGAAGAACTTGTTCCACTTTATGACCGTCCCCATCTCCTTAAAGGAGTAAGGAACAACTTTTTGGAGGGAAATGTAACATTTTCGTGGAAAAAAGAAAAGCAAATTGGTTGTTGGAAGGACTTTACCGATTTGTATGAGTTAGATAGTGGGGATGCAGATAGCAGAATGCTAAACAAGTTAACAGATTCCCATGTTTATAAAGCAAAAATTAAGAAAAGGACAATCAAATTAACAGCTCAGGTGTTCTCACAGCGAGTATCTGCCACTATGAGAGGAGTGGCCAAACATGGTTAGTATTACTTATGAACAAAAATGTAATCAATTATGCTAAAATCACGAACGATCACAAAATTGTATCAGTAGGAAATAAAACGAGTGTGTTTAACAAAAAGGAGGAATTGATTGCGATTGCATGGAAAGAGAATAGGCTTTATAAAATCACTAGCGTTATTAATAAGGATGAAATTAGTGCAAACGTTGTGAATGGTAGTATGACAACAAAAGAAAAATTCCATCGTATACTGGGTCATGTGAATTTTAAGTATTTGAATACTTTGTGTAAACATCAATTATTAGTTGGAGTACCTGAAAATTTAGAATCAAAATATACAAAATGTAAAGTCTGCATTGAAAACAAAATGCATAATCTTCCTTTTGAAAACAACAGAACTAAAGCTACAGGGAGTAGAGTCTTTGTAAGGGTACCGGAACAGTTAAGGAAGTCAAAGTGGGATAGAAAAGCGGATCTAGGAATTTTACTAGGATACACTGATGTTGGATACCGAGGGCTAATTAATAATAAAATCGTTGTAGCTAGACATGTCGATATAGAGAAAAGGATGTAAGGTGTATCGGCTTTGAAGATTATGATTCAGAAAGGGAAAATTTAAATGGGTCCGAGTATGAAAGGTGTGAGAATGATTCTAAAACGGAAGTGGAACGAACAGAAGAAGGGGGTAATAATGGGATTTTGAAAAATAATGAATACGAAAATGAACAGGGACTGAGAAGATCAAATAGGGATTGAAAGCCACCAACTAGGTTTAGTGATTATGTAAGTAATTTCATTTTTGTACATGTATACAGTGCCGACACTCCGGAAACATTTGAGGAGGCGGTTAATTGGAGACAGGCAATGAATAGAGATCGAGAGTTTAAATAAAAATAAAACATGGAAACTAGTTGAGAAGCAAGAGGGTAAAGTAGCAATTGACGTAAAATGGGTATACACAAAAAAATCAGACAACCGATATAAAGCAAGGTTAGTAGTTCGAGGTTTTCAACAAAGGGAGATTGTGGACGACATTTATTCACCAGTAGCAAAAATGCAAACTTTAAAAATACTGTTGTCATACTGCTGTCAGATGGGTCTAGTTATAGAACAAATGGATGTTGAAACGGCTTTTTTAAATGGTAATCTAGCGTCAGAAGTGTATGTAAAAGAACCGGAAGGATATGATGATGGGACTGGAAGGGTATGTACATTACATAAAGCATTATATGGTTTGAGAGAAAGCCCGCGAGCCTGGTATGAGTGCCTTGATGAGTTTTTGAGAAGTCTAGGATTTGTAAGGCGCAAAAATTACAAAGACATACAAGACGCCGAAGTGCAAAAATTAAAGATTGATATTTTAAACATTGAAAAACAGTTAAAATTAAAACAACTGGCCGTTGTATAACATTTGGACAACGACCGAAAACTCTTTGAATTAAATTTTCAGCATACAGTGGAGGAAATCAGTTTTGAGCGAAAAATACGGCAAATTAAACTTAATAGGTTGCAAGCAGCAGAGGAAAATATATAGGTGTAGTTTTTGTATAAATTTTTTGTAAATATAAAGTTTTGTTAGCTAATAAATTTACCTGAGAACTGTGTCTATTCGTGCTCTCCTTGCAGCATTGCCACCTGGAAAATTGTCTGCAACCTCTTTTTCGAGTATGGAATGGACAATATTGGGACTCGCAGGGGTGATTATTTTGTATTTTGCTCAATTTTATATTTGCAATAGAAATAAGTAGTCATTTCCTGGACGGGGTCAATTTTAAGAGTCAGCTATTTGTTTCAAGTTTCAATTACTAATGTAATTTTAGATGGTATCACCCCAGGAAATTTATGACGAGTTGAAAAATATTAGAACATATTTAGTTAAAATAGGGAGTTACGGGCGCAATAAGGATGAATGTTTAATTAGAAAACTAGATGAAACTAAAATAGTATATGCACAATTACAAACAATTATTACTCAATTTGATGAAGATTTGAACTTGTATACTGAGGAAGAAGTTGAACAGTTAGTGAGTCCGTAGCTGCCATTAATAAGGTATACCACAAAAGTTTCTCAAAAAATTTTCCGAAAAAACACCAAGAAAATATTAGTTAAGCGTACCTTTAGAATCAGATCAGGATCACAATATGTTAGTAATCCAACCACGTTGCGAAATAGTTCAGTATTTACCTATAATAACTAACGAAAATTGTATAGTATTACGGAAACAGTTATGTGAAAATGTGTTTTTAGCAGGAGTTGTTGCGAGACCTCGAAACTAAGAAATACCGGTAATAATATTAAATACTAGCGAAGAGGAAATTCGATTAAAAACGTGGATTCCTGAAACTCACGAATTAAGTGTGATTATAAGTATTGTAAATTTGATTTAACACAAAATTCAGTCGATAGGGTTAAAGAAGTTTTAGATACTATCAATGCTGATAAGTTAAACAAAGAACAACGAGAGTCTATCATGTACATTTGTGCTAAATATGCAGATATTTTCCATTTACCAAATGATAAATTAACAACAATAAATATTTATGAACAATCAATAACTTCAAAAAAATATATAAAACCAGTTTATGTTAAGCCTTACAGAATACCACATGCGCAAAAAACCGAAATTGATAAGCAGATACGTCAAATGTGTGATATTCTTGACTCATTTTCAGGTGCAATATATTTTTTCATTTAGATCTTAGTCACGGATATTATCAAGTAAAACTAGATAAAGACAGTAGACCCTTCACAGCATTTACAACAAGTCAAGGACAATTTCAGATGAAGAGACTTCCAATGGGTTTAAAAACAAGTCCCGTTTTAATACCTATATTTTTGCATTTTTTAATTACATGCAACGAACACCGGTTTTAACGAAGACCTGTTTATAACGTACAAAAACAATTGCAGACAGAACACAACAACAGCCTGAATGCACTAGTCAGTCGTGTTTTAACTTCGTTACGGCAATGGCACTTAATAACAGAAAAAGACGTTCGTTAACGATAACGGCATCAACCAGTCGCAAACTAAAATGTTTGTCGGACAGTGTGGATGTTATATGTTGGGTTGCATATATGGTTTACCGTGACAAAGCTTCTGGATATTTAATATTGCTATAGCCATCTTACCTCTAAGAAAAGGAGAGATGGCCCACCTGTTGTTTAGGAAAGATGGCCATAGTTTGAAACGGTTATTTGTTTTAGATACCGAAAACATACAAACGGATTTCTCTGGAAAGAGGAAAATGGACAGAGAATCAACTGAAAAATGCAATGGCGGCTATCCAAAACAACCAAATGTCGGTCCGTCTTGCAACAGTAAGTTTTGGAATACCGAAAAAAACTTTGGAGCGACGGGTAAAAAGTTCAAACAAAACTAAACTTGGTCCCCACTCTGTCTTTGGGAGCGCTCATGAACAACGACTTGTTCGGCATATCAAGGAAATGCAAAAAAGTGGATTTCCGTTAACTCGAGATGATTTACGAAGCATGGCATATAAATGTGCCGTACAATTAGGTATTAAACACAGATTTAATAAAGAAGATGAAAAGGCAGGATATGTTTGGTTGCAATCATTTCTCACTAGACATTCAGACATATCTATTAGGAAAGCAGAAGGTTTATCACTAGCAAGGAGTAAAATTGTGAGAATTATTAGAAAAAACTACCTGTAATGTCTCAAGTCTCACCAACTTCGCATTTTGAATATTGGTCATAAAGCAGGTAATAATCCGTTCCCCGTCGGTGTGAAAAGGGGAAATCTTTTACGGTTTCCAAATTACGAACACCTACAAAGAGCGTAGAGATTATTTTATTGCGAGTTCATTTGTTCCCTAAAATGAAAACTATTCAAATTTTAGAAAACTGTTAGAAATTTATAGACGGTCGGGTAAAACTCATGCCTGCATAAATTGGAAAATATTGCAGATGTTTCATCCAGCACCGGGAAGTAATAAACTAATTTGGGCTAAGGCGGAAGTATTTGAAGTTTGAACAACCATGCGCCCATTGATCCAAATTTGTGGGAATTTAAAAACTCAGAAATGCATAGTAATTTGAAAATTCAAACTAATGTTTCATTTCTGTTTTTGCTTTTGCAACGACCATTTCAGAATTTTTAGTTTTTTTGTGCGATTTAAAATAAGTTTACTGTGTTAGGTACTTTTTCTGTGTGGTGTTCAGTTTAACAGTTTATTTGTGATTCCATCTTTCAAGTAACATTTTTTATACTTTTGTAATTTTTACTAAGTAAATTTAAGAATAATTTGAAAAACTAAGTGGTAAATTTATTTCGTTTTTAGGTATGGACAGAAAAAGAAGTCAATTATGGTACCATTTTAATGTTGACGCCACGTCAAAAAAGGCGAAATGTCATTATTGCGCGAGCTTGTTAGTATTGCCGGAGGGAGTTCTGGAAACCTTTCACGGTATTTAAAGACCAAACACCCAACAGTGCCCGCTTCTAGAGCCCCTTCGTCCACCTCTTCAGCTGCAGCTTCCGATTCTGGTCCTAATTTAAGATTGAAGAACCCTCAGGAGGCGACCGGCAGCTCATCTTCGTCTGCTTCTCTTTTAAATCCGCCTACGAACTCTTTGTGTCTTTCGTCATTATCAGTGCCCTCATCATTTGGTGGTAAAGTTCAGGGACAGGCTTCAATTACAAATTTTATTGAAGTAGTGAAGCCGTTACCGCTAAGAAAGAGCCGTCTTTTAGATGAGCAGCTGGTAAGAATGATCAGCAAGGGATTTCATCCATTTAAGATTGTTGGGGAACCAGAATTTAAAAAATTCGTGGCCATGTTAAATCCTTATCAGCTGCCTTCTAGAAAGACGGTTTCTAACAGTTTGGTCCCGAGTTTATTTAAAACTCGGGTCCAACAAAAATTGAATCTAGCTTCAGCAGTTTGTTTGACTACTGATGGGTGGACGTCATTAAATAACACTTCTTATTTAGCTCTAACAACACACTATCTGCTGCAAAATGCAGATTTGTTAATAATTACCTCGTCCGTTTTGACATGTACCGAATTTTCCAAGAAGCACACGGCAGACAATATTTCAACTTGGTTACTTGAAACGGTTAAAGATTGGGGTATCTCTCATCTCAAAATCTCCGCAATTGTCACAGACAATGCAACAAATATGGTTGCTGCCATTCGTCTGTGCAACTGCACATTTTTTTAATTTAATTGTTCAAAAAGGCTTGATGCACATTGAGCATATAGTTTCTAAAGTAAAAGCTGTTCTGCAACACTTCAAACAAAGTGTCTATGCAACAGCTAAGTTAGTAGAAACTTAAAAAACAAATGAGTCTGCCGCAATTAAAATTAAAACAAGACGTGGTGACAAGGTGGAACTCAACTTTTGATATGCTAAACAGATTTTTAGAAAATAAAGACTGTTTAGTGTCCACTTTAGCCGTTTTGGGTTTAGACTCGAACAAATTTAGCTTCTCAAACAGCGACTGGATAACTATAAAGTATTCAGTCGCTGTTTTAGAAATTTTTTCAAATGTAACCAAAGATATTAGTGATGAAAAATCTGTCACAATATCAAAAATTCCGATATTAGTGCGAATCGTTGCTTTAAAATTAAATAAAATAATAAACATCCCATCTCTGGATGAAAGAATGTCTCTTGTTTGAACTGGACACAAGATTCGGGGACATTGAAAAACATCCCGTCATTAGTCAAGCAGTACTGCTGGATCCTAGATTCAAACAGCAGGGTTTTGGTAATGACGAAAGACGGAAGGATGCCTGTAAGGCTTTAAAAGAATAAGTGAGATCGATGACTGCCATGTCATCGACTTCAGGGGTTGCTGAATCTACTGAATCTGCTGCACAATCCACTCCGTCGACTTCGACCGCTTCCTCGTCGTTGTGGTTCGAATTTGAAGAGGAAAATAAAAAGGTGTATATATATATATATATATTTTTTTTTTTTTCATGTAATCTGTTCGAATATTAATTCGAACCACCTGCAACCTACGAGTATATATATTTTAATAAAAAATTATTATTTTCATAGTTAACGGGCGATACCAACCCCACGGTGGTCAGTATTATTGAGGTGGACAAATATTTAACAGAACCACTTCATCCCCGCCATTTGAACCCGTTAACTTGGTGGACCGAACGACTGGCGATTTACCCACACTTATATGAGCTGATGACCCGAAGGCTATGTATAACAGAGACTTCGGTCCCGTGTGAACGTGTGTTTTCGACGGCGGGCCATTTTTTTAACGAAAGAAGCACCCGACTGAAATTGTCAGAGCTAATTTTTTCACAGAAAAATTTAGAATAGAAGTTTTTAAACTGTATTTTAATGTTTGTATTTTTTGAGTTAATTACGTTATTTATTTTATAGGTTTTTATAGTTTTTAGATTGTATATATTTTAATGTCAGTCGCGTATTAAAAAAACGACTTGTTACACAAACATAGATTCTCTGACATTGTTATTAAAAAAAAAATTAAGAAAAGCACCGTCCAGAGTTTTTTTGTATAAACAAACTTTACCTTCGCTATCGCTACCCCCTGTTCCCGTTTTAACAAGATCGGGAACATGGTTAGGAGCCAGCTATATTTAGTCTAGAAATTTTGACTCTCTAAAACATTTGGTTTTACTTTTAAATGACGATACACACAGTATTATTCGATGCAAGAAGAAAATGTGAAAACCGACCTTCATTTTATCCAACAAAATTTTACACAGTGAACAAATGCTCTCAATGATTTTTTATGAAATTTACTTTGACTTGCAATGTTACTTTTAATTATATCATACTTGCTATGCTTACGCATCGTAAACCACGGAAGCACGAATCACCCACGCAATTATGCTCAAATTGAAAATACTACATTCACAAATGCTATAAACAAACTCGACTCAGTTATTGATTCTTTAAAAACTATTTCCGGAGATTTTGGAAACAACTTATCACAAAAAATAGATGTGGTTCAAGTTAGAAATCCAGATTTACAGTGTCTGTATCAATTTTGTAACGGTATCATGAGTGAAAATTTAAATAAATATAGTAATTTACCGCGACATTTTGAATACGCTTCTATTACAAGTTGTGATATGAAACTAACATGGTCACAATACAAAAACGCAAATACGTTTAAATATTTCATTGCCTCAACAACTGACGGCATTGTGTATGGACCTTTAGTGATTTTTTTAATTATTTTTAAAAAGTACAACAATAAACAATTCTACTGTCATAATTAATTTTTATAATTTTCAATTGGGTGCCATAAAAAAATAATGAAATATTGATAATTTTAAAATTTCCGTCAACATGACGTCATCAGCCCGAAACCGGAAATACATATCCTCGCCTAGTCACGTGACGAATCGTGGATCTTCATTGTTACCAGCTCTGCTTGAGAATTTTGACATTTGTATGCTTTGCTGGTTGCTGGTGTGGTGGGGTGACTGAGCTTTTTTCGGTGTGTTTCGTTTTCTGTTGTGCAAAGTTTGTGTAATATGGAGGAAGGATCTACCAAAGCTTTATCTGATAATTCGTCATTCATTAATTTTTTTATGGTTGACGAATTTTATTTTAAGAATTTGAACATCGCTTATGCTGAAACTCAGAATGTAAACGCAAGCAGGTGGGTAATGTTATTACTAATACTAAGAACAGAAGTATCCAATTAACATATCTAATTTGTTATTAGGTCAGCAAGAGCATCCTACGGCGCTAACGCTGTACCCTATGTACAGTTAAAACGGGGAACAAGCATTTGCAGTGTTAAGCGCAAAATAACCTCAGAGCACAAGGTACATGGTAAATACTACAACCTCTGTGCCATTATTGATGAAATTAACGAAGTTGTAAGTTGTGAGTGCTCGTCATGTGCAGCATCTGAAGGTTAGCTTTGAACAATTATCGTCATACTATAATAAAATAATATTACTCTTTAGGCCACTGCACAGATGCAGTAGCATTCTTATATTGGCTACATAGGAGAAGTGAACAGCCTTCATAATATCACAGACGTGTTACTGGAAGTGCTCGGCACTGTCACAAGTGGGAAAAGATGCTGCAACAGATTTAGCAGCTCTGGTTGGTAAGCCAATACCTCCACTAGCAAAAACAAGTGGAGCATTTTTAGCAGGTTTATTGGCCAAATGCTCTAGCGCAGAAGGTGGCGTAATTAATATATCGAATCCACCGAAATTTCGCAATATGTCACTTTATCACCTCGCTGTGGACTTCGAATATAATTCAACGTATCAAAAAACAGCAAATATGTTTATGGCATATATTTCGAACAGCTGAACATTGTCAGCAAATTGAGAAGTTAAGTAGACGCCAATCAAATAGTTGCTTGTGGAAGGAGATGAAATTTGGACGCATTACTGCTTGACGAATTTATGAAAGCGGTAAATGTCATACTCTGGAAGGAGTACTTACTGAGGTATAAATATTGTAATTTTATTTATGTATATATATATATTTGCTGCATGTTTGTAGACTTTCATGGGGGCAGTCAAGTTTAATGGAACGGGAGCCACAATTCGGAGCCAAAATTTAGAAAAGGAGGGGTTAAAACAGGTTGCAAAAAAACGCAATATTAAAATCAATCCATCAGGTATGCATATTTGTTTTTGTTAGGGTAAGAGTGAAAATAAACGTTCACGAGTACAGACGTCTTGTAGCTGCTCTGTCTGGGCCATTCATTGTGACCTAATCCTTCGAGCACCCACAGCTCTTCAACATTTTGGTAACACTTGCAAACCATCGCGTTTATTAGAGGCAACCGACGCATTTTTCTGATGGGAACTTTTCCAGAAAACGAAGATGTCATTTCTGTTGAATAATGGCTTATTACGCCGTCCCATCTTATTACCCAAAAATTCCGAAATTACCCCGCAATATCCGTCCGTACCCAAGTTCCCAAAAATCCCCATAGACCGAGCACGTTTTCGGTTTGATGCACTTTATACAATGGGCCCCAGCAATAACGTGGAATCCCATCGTTTAGAGTTGTAAAATTGAAACGTTCTTGATCGAAGCCATTGAGCACCAGATATGTCAGTCTTTGACGCGGAACTTATTCGTAGAGATAGATGGTTTTCCTTGATTGTAGATTTGATGATTGTGAATAGTAATAGGGTTTTTGAGAAAAGAGCTTTAGTTTCGGCCGGACAGATTGTCTCGCTTCCGGATTTGTAGAGGCGTGTTTTGCATTGCCGCCTCGAGCATGGGCCGAAGAAATCGGCCAGCAAATTCCGAAGTGGGGTAATTTTTATTAGGGTTCGAGATAGGAAATTCTCACCGTTTACAATGGGCGCAGAGTACCTCTGTAACTTACGTTTGTTGTTGTAAGCCGATTGTACGGGAAGGATGTTTCTATGAATTGGACGAATTTGCCGCACGACCACCCGCTCAAAGTCCTTGCTCGCTTTTTAGGTCAAAGCTGTGGGAAAAAGCCCCCGGCGCGAAACCGCCCCCGAAAGGAGGTGGTTGGCTGAGAAGTAGCCCCTCTAATCAGGAAGGTACGACTTGGCTTCAAAATTTTGTAAGAAAATTTAGTTACTGTTTCGGTTCTGAAGTGGTCGGTCGGGAACTTCTCCTGCGGGTTGATCCTTGTGTTTTTGTGTAGGCTTGTGTTAAATTGTCAGCTTTTAATTTAAATTCAGTTTAAGTGTTCAGATAGTTAAGGTTGTCTTTGTTTTTGTGTTTTGCTTTAATAATTTTCCTAACGTGTGCGATTAATAAAGGAGGCTGGTCGAAACTACCCGGTAGTTTTCTTCCTTTTTTTTGACAACCCCTCTTTACGGTTCGCGAACATCAGTAGTGAATTATGTGACCTGGTGTCGACGCCGCCATCAAAAAGGTAAGAGCAATTATTTTGTTTATTCTCACACTAATATTGTTGGGACCCACACCGGTCTGACTAGACCGGGTTACACTACCCATAAGACACTACAGGGAGATTTTTGGGGTATGTGAGTACGATGTTGCACAGTACGACAAGCACACCAACTCGCTAGGCTTTTCACGGCGTACGTGAACAACATTTTAAAATAAAGCAAGAGTGCAGTGAGTGGTCTCAATGATGCAATACTAATGAGGAGAAGAAGGAGTACATACGTCAATATATTATATTAATTTGGCCAGAAGAAGAATTTCCAAAAAACAGACATTGCTGATGAGCCTCTGGATATATTTAAACTGGTTACCAATCACTCAGTTAACGTAAATAGATTACTCCGACGTATTGATAGCCACCTGAGAGCGCACTGAAGGTGACGTTAATCCGTTAAAAACTGTGAATGTTGCTTTTGCACCAGACACGACGGCGGGATCACGACTTGACCTGTACAGATATTTAAAAAAATGGAGCGTCGCGTTTTGTATTACGACACGAGCAGCGTCATCTTCCCTCATAAAGAGGGAGGTTGCTCCAGGTTGGTAATTTACTGGGTAAAAAAAAAACTATGGCCTAAAATATTTTAGCACAAACAAAACACACACGAAACAAAATGCAAGGTTAAAGGTATTCCCCTTAACTACAAAATTCAGCGACTACAACTGACGCAAATAATATCAAGCAGTATGATCGACGTGCTCGTATTATTTGCACGCTGCAGTATACGTCGTTACAAAAACGTGTGAGAAAACGTACGCCATATGTACACCTAAAAATTTATTATTTCAAAGTGAAGAGAATAAATGCAACATCAGAGCAGAAACTGTAGAGCATAATTATTGAGATGACTCCATTATTTTTGCCGACAATCCTACTCCTTCTACGTCAAGAGTTTTTCACCAACATATTCAACTTGGTCATTCATCAACCGATTCCCAGTTTGACGTCGTTTTTTCTGACGATTTTTTCGATTTAATAACGTGTTATTGTATTTGTCTTAGGAGTGGCTGGTACCTCGGGTAAACAAGTTATTACCCAAAATACCTTTAGGACCAAATACAAGAACAAGACCTGCCCAATCTTGATGAAAAACTTAAATATTTGGAAAATCATTTATTGTGCTGTTATGATGGCAGGCCTGAATATTTAAGTAGTTGAAAAAAAAAGTGCACATTTTAAATTGTCCGTGAAAGATAGATGGTCTAATGCCCATAGAAAGGCAGACATTTTTCTTTACTGCTTTTATCGCGAGACATTCTTAATTTGCTTTGAGGAAAAGATTAAGTGCGTTCAAATTTGGTGAAGTGTGCAAAATGGTCAGTAATGTAATTTACCTTTTTAGTAGGATATGTCAGTATGGTAAGAGCAATGAATCTGCAGCTAGAGAAGTAGTCTAAAGAGTTGTTGACAAACCAATTAGACTCTATGAATTATTCATTAATGAAGTAGTTGCACCACCTGCAAAACATCCTGTGCATCCAGGCGCAGCATATTATTGTCGAAAAAATTAGAAAACAGATAGGAAATTAGTAAACATAAATGCCCGTTTTCC